AGTGGTGGGAGTGGTGGTGCTGACTTTTCGTAATTTTCCTGTTTCATAGTGTGCTATATAACCCAGTGCAATTGCTATGCAATTGCTCCAGTGCAATTGCTATGCAATTGCTCTACGGTTATTGCTTGTTACTCCAACTCACACCACAGAAACGAAATTCAAAGATAAGAACTCTTAAGTGATTTCCAACTCATTGAATGCAGAAGACACAATAATTGGGCACATAGTCTAAAATGGCAGCAAGCACGCTAAGGCGCAAAAAATGAAATGAACTGGTCAAAAAAACCAGCAAAAGATGATTGCTTTGCATGGCGATTGCCTACTATAAGGCAACTCAGCATGCAAATCAGCGTACCAGTAACTTTGACAAAGTGTTACGTCGTTCTGACGAGTGCAACACGGATCTACTGTAATCTATACTGACGCAGATTCATCGTTAAAAGAATGCCTCGGCCTTAAAGGCAGTCGGCACGATGATTTGGTACTCGGCCTAAAATGCTAGTAGGGCGCTATATAGTGGGGAAATGGCGAAAGAACGGAGTGAAACGGTCAAAATCCTGCGAAGAAAAAGCCTCCGTTCTCAATGACTTGAAATCAATTTTGGACGAGTTTCCCGTAGGCATCTTGCCAATAACCGCTACCGAAGTACGGCTGCATATGTGTACTCATATATCCATGCAGCATCACGGCCGCTTCATACCAATCCCTTCGCTTCATAATTTGCTTAGCAAATGAATCGATTAGAGCGTCAGGAACGGTCGTCCATTTGTGGGCGGGCGGGCGTTTGGGTCGGTATGTTGTGGCTTGATAGGGCCCTTATAAGGGCACCTCCCTTGGAAAAGGCATTATGCAGCGCCTGCTCAGGGTCGCGGAATTCCGTCCTGCCAGGCGTATTAATCCTACTCGTCTTGGGGGATTTATCGTGCCAACTGCCTTTGAAGTGGGTGGTCGCAACTTCAAGTAATTTCAAAGAAAAAAAGGAATAGATTGTTATGAACGTACACTAAAGTTACTGTATTGTTGTTGACTCGTTTCGCTTTATAGACACATCGAATGAAGCTTGAAAAACCACCTGAAAGTGTTTGTTCTGTAAGCAAGTGAATGACTGGTGTATTTATTATATAGGCGTCCTCAACTTCCCACAAAGTAAGAAACCTTCTTCCAAAGAAACGATACTTTTGGACATTTGTGCGGGCGTCGCGCTTCGCACACCGTCTTGCCAAAAGCCATAGGGTGCTTCGCCTTCAGAGAGAAGGACGTATTCAGTCCCCGGAACAAAGCTCACAGACAGGAGCCCAATCCAAGTAGGAATTTTTTCGTTCAGGCACCCGTTTGTGCGCACTAGCCCAGCGCAGATGTGATGTCCGACGTTATTCGGATGTCTACTGGTCATTCTTACGATGTCTCTGCATCATTCATCTTCTCCCTAAGCTCAACTCTACGCCATCCTCTTCCTTTGTACTCACTTTGTTTTCGGGCCCTTTTTTAATTGACTGAGGTGTCCACGAGGAGTAGTTGGTGCATTGGCAGTGGCACGTGGCAGCTTATCAGGCGCGTGCTCCGGGGATCAAATCTCGAATCGGTTCCCTCCCAGGCCAGACAAGCCGTCTTTTCTTGGGGTGAATTGGTGTCGGATTTGCCTGGGATGATGAGAACACTTTGTAGACCATAGACCACATCACATTCATTAAACCTCCATGACTCCGAATGGAAGAAGAATGCCGTGCCGCCAAATATGGGATCGATCAACAGCAGAGGACTTTCTTTTAGGCTGCGTTTATACTTTGCGGCAGCGTAGCGTTAGGGGGGGCCGGTTTTTAAAGGGGGCGTAGCGTAGCGCAGCGTAGCGTAGCGCTTCCAGCGTACGCCAGCGGCAGTGCCGAAGAGAGGATGCATATCGATCTAGCTTCACCAGCGTCACCAGCGGCACGCTGCGTACGCTAGCGGCACGCTAGCGTACGCCAGCGTTTCTCCAGCGTTTCACTAGT